TAATATATTGATGTAGGATATTTTCCAGAAATGTTTTGTTTGTGAACACATTATTATATCAACATCCTTGTAGAAAGATTTTTGCAATATTTCAGTATGAGAGATAAAAAGCTGCTCTGTAAACAATATGCCGGATTTAATACAGTTTAGCATTGGAAATGTTACATGAGGAATGATATGCACTCTGTTTGTTACAACTCAAGGTGAGTAACACGAATGTAAACTTCAATCATTATTAAAGATTATTTTCACTACAGAAGTTCACAATATAAAAGAGCTCTCTCAAATGTGCTCACTTCTGGTTCATGATACTAACTTTATTTATCTTAACAGACGATTATAGCCAGTACAATCATTTGTATACTAAAAACTGATCTGGGGAGATCGGATGTTAACTAAGCAGTGGTTATACATTTACCAAACCCAGACAAAATAGTTGTTAGAATGTTTTATTATTTATAATGTACAAAAATAGTGTTCAGAAGGCATATTACAATACATTGTCAAAAATTCAGAATATATTCAAGATAATACATTAACACAACATATATGAAGACTATTCCCATTTCTTATATTTATCACATTTATTTTTAACTGCAATCTGTTGGGTGAAGAACAGACATTTTCCCAAAGGATAATTGTTATTAGTGTGTAACGACATACTGCAAGAGAGTGATGGAGAGTAAACTCTTTACATTTAGTTAATTATTGTAATAAGGTATATGTCAAAATATTATACTCGTGGCACACTCCTGCCTTCCTCAGTTTTTGAATGGAACTTGAGACTCGTGTGTCGTGCTAGTGTTATTCTCTTCCTGAAATAATGCCACATTGAAAACACAAATACACATGGCTACTTCATGAATAATAAACATCATCAGAACAGCTTTAATGCAAGTAACGAATAAATAAAATAATTTAAACAATAAATACTCTTATGTACATCAAGGGAACATGATGCATAGCATCTAACAGACATGTAGTTACAGAGCAGTTTGACAAACAGTGACTGAAGGCCTCAGAAATTATGTTGCTCCTGATATCTGCATCAGACATTCAGACACTGTGCAAAGCACACTCAATATAAACGGTTTTATTTCCAGGGCTACTTGAGTAAACTCCATTGGTACAGTATGCATAATGAGGGAATCTATTTTAAACAGCTCCTTTGTCTGGGTCAGGGACACTTTAGCTTTTAAAGGGACAGTCCGTCATTGTCAGAAATGTGCTCATAGTCTAATCTCTTAAGGGTGCTTCTCTTTTGCCTTATTTCATGTCTCCTCACTCCTCTGTCCACGTTTGAGCTGAAATTGATATTTTTCTATTATTTTTGTTTGGAAGAGCAATGAGGCTGCCCATTACTGTAGTTAACTGGGGCAAATAACAGATTCAACACAGATGTTATCTCACTTCGGATCTCAGTAAATCAGATTTGCCATTAAATGTTGTGATCGTAACTATACGCTTAATAAGGAAGCATACAAAAACTATTATAACCATCGTCAGATTTTTATTTCATTATTTTCCCATTAAAGCCTGTACAACGTCATGAAGAGAAGGAGTCTGTATGTACCTCACTATTTGATTAAATATGGTTTTCTATGAGGCTGAGATCCCTGCGTCAGGCACAAAATGTATTTTGATATGAGATATAAAATCTGAATTGTTCACAAAATCAATGCAGAATAGCTGTTTTTAATTAATGTGCTTTTTCAACTGTTTTCGGTGTATGTGGAAACATGCAGAGACAGTAGTGATGTACAGTAGGGGGTAGAAAAAGAGGGTATAATAGAAGATACTAACACATGTTGTCCCCATTTGTCTGCACTCACATATTTTCCTGCATCCCTTTCTTATGTCTTAAATGGAAGAAACTAAGATGTGATAAATAAAATACGAGTAAGAAAAATGTTTAGACATTTGAGATAAATGAGAAGCACCCATTGTTCATGTTCATCTAATCTTAGCACGAAGCAAAGAGAAAAACATTTGTCTAGCCCTGTCAAATGTGTAACCATTGACCCTTTAGTAAGTAGAAGCTGTTTTGTTATCACAGTCTTTTTAAAGTATGACTATAGGCTGATACATGACAATGAGCCGGTCCAAAAGGATTGTGTTTGGATATTTGTCTGTTTTGCTTCCAAACTGTACAACCTTTATTTGCTGTCATAGAAAAATATTAAACATAAGTCGGTGTAATTGGAAGCAAATGTGAGATTGCGTGCAAGCTTGGCTGTAAGCATTCTGCAGATTATCTCCAATAACAAAACACAGCAAAGTTGGAAGGATTACAGTGAGCTGAGTAGTGTGGGGAAAAACCAACTGTAGTAATAAAACATGCGGAGGTGCTTTGCTATTCCAATGTTATCTGTGGAAACACACTGCAGAGATACATACTGCCTATCATTTAATGCTTCACTTGGATATTGTTAAACCATTTTCGATAGAACTGAAAAAAAAATCAATGTGTATGAATACTGTTTTAGAGCACCTGCATGTACATATAAAATATTATAACATAAGATTTGTGATGCTAAATTGTAAACATTCCAATATTTAGAGTTCAAAATGTTTTTTTTCAGACGTAGAAATACTGGAAAAATGCTTATAGTGCTGAGCTTTGTGTGAAATAATGTTAGTGATGATAAATGCCACAGTCTAATTAGCTTCTCTGGACACAACTTTCTGAAATAATATGTAGAAACTGTATGAGATGTGACCATGTTGCATATCATTTGTGATAATCTGTGATATGCCAGCATTAGAAATCACATTCAAACTGATTTCTAGCATTTATTTTGTTTGATGTACAGGTCCGATGGTTGTGACTGGGATCATGTCGCACCTGATCTGAAAATAGACCGCGTGGTGAAAAGCTGTCACTGCGATTGATGGCTGCCTCATGACTATATTTGTGTTGGCATCCTACAATAGACTGTTGACAGAGATGTAAACAAGCTGTGCTTTAAGGTCCTCCTGAGCTGCAGTGGCATTTACAATTAGCATATGTTGGCTAGAGAACAGCATGTTATGATCTGATCTGCTGGATTTAGAAAGCCGATGGGGTCATGTAATGCTTTATGAATGTCATGCACTAAAATAAACAAAGCAAAATGTTTTTGTATTTTGAAACTTGAATTATGTTTGTGAGGGTAAGAGATTTTTTTTAGGACATTTAAAGTTTTACTATAGTTGCTGAAGTTGCTATAGTTAACGACTCTTAATGAATGATAATGACTTTTCCTTGACCAGATGGTGTTAGCTGCCCTGGAAGGTATCACATGGTGAGAGGAAATGTTGGTCTTATGAAGACCATTGTATTTACAAAAGAAAACATAAATACTTATTAAAGGTTCTTACTTCTTATAAGCATGTCTTCACATCAAAGTTGTTGGTCTTTAAACTGGTTTTAGATTTTAAGCTGTTCATGAAATTGTCTCTGTTAAATAGAGGCTTCACAGTTGATTTACACATGTCCAGAAATCATCATTCTCTCCATCTTGGAGGTTCAGTAGATAACTGGTTTTGGCAAATAAAGGATAATACCCTTGTCTATAAAATAACCATGTCAGAAAAAGATAAATATTTTAACCATGCTTTAGAGTCAATTGATAAGTATAGAGTAGAGCCAATAGATAAGGATGAATTAGTCAGTGGTGTTCAAACTGAAATATTGGTCTGGTAAGGCAAACATGTTTTTTTAGATGCATTGATACTGTGACATGAACAAATTATTGAGTATACGCTTGGTTAGCTAGCACAATAACAACATGTCAGGATTAAAAAGTCTTACCATGCAGAGCCGATGAATCAAACCATATGTAAATCTATGAAACACCTTCATCTTAAAATGTATTTCAATATTAATATCATTAAATTCAATATAAAGGAAAACTTGTTTGTGCCAATTATATTTTACGGTTGGGCAGCCATTGGATTGCTGTATTGCAAAAAAAATGTAGGCCTTAGCAGCAGGGGAAATGAAGGGGATACAGTTTTGCCAAAATGTGCTGCATGCCAATACTACTTCAATACAATAATATGAGTTATAAATTATTAAGTCTTCTCCATAGAATTATGCATACAATATAAAAGGTGATGTTTTTAAACAGGAAAGCACAAAGATCACTCTTGCCTTGAATTAATAATAGGTTGATTGAATTAAAATGGTGTTGCTTAACTGATGCTTTTGGATGGTGTTTAGGCACCACGTTTATCTCTTTTTAAACATTAACATTAAAGCTGTAATCTAAATAGGCGGCCTTTCCTACATTTTTACAGTTTTTGGATTTGGATAAGTGAATAGCTATTTGGTTTCAGGTTTTATGCTTAAAGTTGTATCATATTCAACATGAATGAAATAATAAAGTTTGAAATGTGTTATTTCATTTGCTGAAAATGAATCTTGTGAACACATTAGGAAAAATGTTCCCCTTCATAACTGCTGGAATATGTTTCAGCCTCCAATGCCTGTATGCAGTTAGCATCATCTAAAACTAGCGGCTACTTGAGGACCAGCTAATTTTTTCGCTTCCTAGCTGGTAAGCATTTTCTGCCTAACAGAAAAAAGACTCCTGGTGAAATGTAAAGCTTCCATTCAGACAGTTGACCGTACTGAATTCTTGTTAGCCAAGCTGCATACTTAGAGATATGGTTAGCTTCTAAGAGCTAAAGACCTTCAACATGGCTGCCATAAGCCTTCAAGGAAACAACATATAGTCCATTATGGACCGGAACAGTACTGATAGTTTCCTCCTCTGCTCTTCTTGCTAGTGGCATTAAAACAAACCCTTCTCAGCCCCAGGGTTGTGGCACAAATCCAGTTAGCCTGCTTATGCTATTCATGGAGTGAAGACCATGGCCGCTGCCTTGAGGATCCAAATCCATGCCCACGCTGCTGGATCAGGGTTTGGTCACCCACTTCAGACACCAGTGCTTACAGCATGCTGCTCTTTAGCTTAACAAAGCTTTTCTGTGCTTGTGATAGATGTTCCCTACTATCAGCTAAAACAGCTGCAGTTGGCCGCTGAGAGCCACCTGATGGTCTGCCAGGTAGTCTGTTCATCCATAAAGGACACAGTCTCATACCGGGTCGGCCGACAGCATGGGTGACTGCTAACCTTCTTCCCAGAGATGCTCCCATTTTCCGTCAAAGCCTTCACGACCAGATCATAGTTCTTGCGGGAGCTGTGGCATGTCCCAACACAGTACTTAAAGAGGATTATTTCGTCCGAGTCATAGCCAAGACCCAGATCCCGCACCCGCATCTCCTTCCTCTCCAAATGGCAGTCGTGACTGATCTTGGTCTTCTTGCGGTTTCTCCTTGACGTTCTTGGCAAATCTGGGTCACGGTAGGCTCGCCGCCATCTGCTCTGCTGGATTTCCCCATCTTGCATTAGTGACCACTCTTCTACAATAAAATAATACACAGATAAGACATATATATATATATATATTTAGTTATTTGATTTTCAACATAAACATTTTCTGTGAGTTAGCATTTCACAACTTCCAGTTCCCTCTTCTCATAGTCAAATTAGTAAATATCCCCCTTTGGAAGTTGAGAGCTTCTATGAGTCTGACTGGTTTGACCAAAAACGATATGCAACTGCTAAACGCCGAGCATTAGCCACATTTAGCATAGCGGTTGTTACAGTATATGACTTCATGCGACCATGATGTAGTTTGTTTGTAACCTATAGGCTTATTACTTCTGGCCGCCTTTATGCTTCAAAAATGTATAGCGGTGTTCATTTGTGGATATTATCCTGCTGACCAAAATATGTAATTATAATAAAAGTGTGTTGGTCACAGATCTTACTTTCTGCAATATTCCAAAATCCAATAGAAAAATCCAATTGCTTTTGTCAAGAGAGCCCTGCCGATGCTAACTTCCACGTCGCCCCACAAAAAAAACGTCATCACTGCACCACCACAACTTGCCCAGCAATAATTTGCTTCCTGGTTTATGGCAATGGTTTATCAGAATCAGAATCAGAATACCTTTATTCTGATTAATGCAATTGTTTCCTGTTTTATGAGCTACTCCAGCACAAGGTATCAGAAGTTCACAAAGACATCTTGTATCACTTTAATTCACTTAGCCATCTGTTAAAAAGTTGTGATTGGATCTCTACTCAGCTCAGAAATTCCTGGTGTATGTCAACATATTTGGCATGTCAACTGTACTCTGATTGGTTAATCTCCCTCACCTGATTGTATTCTGATACAACTACATGATGGAAAGCTGAGTTTTTATTTGTGTATGAGAGCGACAACCAGGAATCACAGACACTGAGTAAAGCGTTTGGAATCAGGGCTTGTTTTAAAGTTTGTAAAATAAGTTGAAAGCTTGCTGAGTAATTAAAAATAAAGGATGTATTATTCCTAGTTTGGTTGTAATGGTCATTGACAAAGCCTTTTAAAGCTTAAGTGCGAGATACAGTAATTTAGAGTCCTGCTCCTAGTTGGTTTAACGTTGCACCTAATGAGCATCATCAATTCAGGAAAGGCAGAAATGACAGCTTGCACCCTCTACCATTGTGATTGGTTCACAGCGCTTGAGGATTTTGATGTCATCACGTCTGTGGAACCTTTTTGCACAAACAAAAACCACTCTCAGATGAGTTTTTATATATATATATTCATTTTATAATTGATATGTTACTTTTTGTTGAATTTATATTTATTATGTTTTAAATATTTTATATTTGTATCAATTATTTTGTTTCAAATATATTTAATTTGCTATAAGAAATGCAATTAATAAATACAAAATTAAGTTTATTTGAACGCAATGTTCAAGTTAATCTTATTCAAAAATTAAAGTAATAACATTATACTAATTTATTTAATCTAATGTAATTTGTTCACACTCCGACGTCATAATAAATATTGTCTTTCACATTCACTTGCCTCTAAATCAATCATTACAGACAGGGTGAGAAAATAGATTCAGAAACAAGATGTCAGCTAACTGAGTAAACCTTTCTCTTGGCTCAGGAGTTCTTAAAGCTCTGTAAAAGCAGCTTCATGCAGCTTTGTGATTATTTCTTGGAAATGTTTGCAAGTCTCCAGATGTCTGCTCTGGCCTTTAGAGACTGAAAGGTGAACAACTTCTCACACTTAACTTTATGTTTTGGATTAGTTTTATGAGCTAGCCGAGGCGAGCATGTGTGATTAAATTAAAAGCAGACATGGCCGCTGCAACTACTGTACTGTACTACTGTCACTATGCGGGGTCATTACCAGTATGGGAGGGGAGCTGGCTGAACTCCAACAGGAGCTTTCTCAGTTTGCAGGAACTTTTCAAACAAACTCATCAAACTTCCTCAGTCCACTTGGCAGACAGGCCCGCATGTTTGACGTATTTACTCCCAGACTGCACTTTCTCTGAATGTCTGTGCAGTATTGTCCCTAGGGAAAGGTTTCTACCTCTATTGAACGCTCATTCACAGCAGCATCGGTGCTTGTCAGTTCATGCCTTGATGTTTACGAAAAGAAAACTTGTATCACGAGAAAAAAAAGAAAGAACAGAAAAATGCATAGGAATATTCCCCCGGAGAAGTGGTACGTATTCAGCCATGTTTAAACATGCCACACGGTTGCACTATTTCATGTAATTACAAAAGTATTCAATGTTACAATTGAATTGGGCAATGTTCAGGCAATCAAGTCTAACTTGCCTCAATATAGTTTTAGAAGGAGAAACTAAATATGTTTTCAAGAAATCATCACAAAAATAAAGTCACTGTCAGTGATTGAGATGTGCAGTGAAGTGTACAGAAACCCTTTGTGCCTCTTTTTCATTCTTTAACTTCTTAATGTCTTGGGGGAGAATATCCCTTCAGATACTGGAGTAAAAAAATGTGATCCTCATCAGTAAAGTAAGTAAAGTACCCTGCAGTGTGATTCCTTTGAAATAATTATAGACGTCATTTGTATTGCTACCTTTTACTTATGTCTGGCATTTGAACCCTTTGACAGCAATGAATGGACTATTATTCTATATTTTTTTCTTAATAATAACAAAGATTAAAAATGCATATTGAATAAAGAAATTACAAATTGTTAAAACAGCTTGATAAAAGTAATAATCAAAGTAACCACCTTTAACCTGATTCAATAATAACACAGTCAAATACATAGAGTCTCAGATGGGCTGACTTTAAAGAGGCCCTATATACATTTGGTGTTTTTCCCATTCCTGTAGTGTGCTTTATAGGTTTTTGGTAAATGGTCTGCAAAGGCTAAAATACCAAAGTCCCCCCTCCAGAGAGAGTTTCTCTCCCACACACTGACTGTGAAAAGCCTTGATTGCACTCCTTTGTTTACCTCCCTAACATAGTGACATCACTATGTAACACTCCCTTTTATTGGCTAGCATTTCTTCACATTGTACATGATTATGGGGTGGGGTGGGGGGGGGTTAAGGGCAGGACATCTCTAAGGGGTTGACCAATCACAACAGAGCCAGCCAGCTAACCAATCAGAGCAGACTGGGCTCAATTGTATTTTTGTTCGTCTACAGTGTACTACAATTTCAAACCCTGTTTTATTATATATTGTGTAAAATACGCCATATACGTCTAGTGTCTAGACAGGAGGTCACCAACTGTGGTTTGAATTCATTCTATCAACAAATTCAGAAGAGGTCACACCTGGTGAAGATCTGCACTCTTCTGAGTGAACTATTCTAGTTCTCGTTTTTTATTTATAACATGCTCTGGTAGCTGTGAAAAACAGGACTATGATGCGGGACAGAAACCTTGCACATTGGATTGATTATTTTTACCCTGTTGGGGCCCTTGCTCAGTTGACCAGGGCAAAACTGAGCGTTGAAAACGACGAGGCACATTTCCAGAGGCTACATTACTCATCTAGGAGTGACACACTGCTATTTTATGACCTCTACCTTAGATTTATTAAGTTTAGTTTTCAGCGTTTTTACTAGCACAAAAAAATTAGTAATGTTAATATAATGGATGGCAATGAAGAGTGCCTCTCCAAAGGTTAAAGAAGCCAAGCAGTGTATACCTGCAGGCAGCCAATGTGACGTACTGTACTGTATGTATTAGCATAAGAAGCATTTTATGTTACCAATAGAAGTGTCTTAAAAAGTTTCCAACATATTAAAGAATGCCATATACTTTTAACTATTTGGGAAAAGGGTAGTTAATAAAGCTCAAAATGGACAGACATTTTAGGAAAACATATCAGACCATTCCACTGTCTCCTTCTTAATGTAGGCCTGATATTTACAGTGTTCCCAAATGATATGACCAAGAGGTCTTTACTCTACTAATTTATGGTTTACCTTGTTCAGAACGGATTTTTGTTAATAAATCCCTGACCCTGACCCTGACCCTAACCCTGACCCTGACCCTAACCCTTCCAAATAAGAAGTAATATTAAGGTTATCAATGATAAAAGTAATTGAAATACTTGCCAAGGGCTCCAGGCCAGGATATGTGGCCTCTGCTGCCCCGGTCCAGGTCCTTAGCAGGAAACACGGAGGGGAGCCTGAGGACATGCTGGAGGTCTGACTCTTTATTATCCTCTTCAGAAAACACATCCTCCACCAGTGTCAGCAATGATGCCAGCACCCACAGCATCATCTGAGAACATCAAGGAACACACCATTACTGGTCAGTTTGTTACCACATTTCTGTTCACATTCACTGTAAGAAATCTGTGAAAGGGGATACAGGTAGCTTTTTCTTAATCCTGATGATGTCGTCCCTTTATATGTAATCCGTTTCTCCCCAAGCCCGGGGAATTAAATGCTTAATCATTACATTCATTACCACAGATGAGTCATAAGACTTGTGGTAATAAAATACAACTCTCTAAAAAACGTTCTCAAAAATGTCTTATCTTCATTTTCACAGCATTTTTGAAAATATATGAATCATCCAAATTTGCTTGAGTTGGTCCATTGCTCCATTTCTTGGCACATTAAGGCAGCAGCAGTGCTTGGGCATGTTTCTGAAATACTAACAAAACAAGTGAATTCGCTCTAACAAATGCATACACAGTGCAGTCGGGAATTATTCCATGAATGTTGAAAACAAAATATTGGCAGTCATCTAGTAACTCTGGAAATATTTCAGCTGAAAGGGGCCCTATTATGATATTTAGGGTTTTCCCTGTCCTGTAATGTGTTAAAAGGTTTATGTGCATGTAAATGAGCTGCAACACCCCCTCCCCCCCTGCCTTAAACGCTTCCATTGGACTCCTTTGTTTACTTCCATAATATATTGACATGAATTTGTAACACTCAAGCTTCTATTGTCTAGTGCTCCAAACACATTGTACGTGATCATCTCTAATCGGTTGAGCAATAACAACAGAGCCGGCCAGCTAACCAATCAGAGCAGACTGGGCTCTGGTTTCA